TATCTTATCTTATCTTATCTTATCTTATCTTATCTTATCTTATCTTATCTTATCTTATTTTTATTCGTATCTTATCTTATCTTATCCTATTTTTATTCTTATTTGCATTCTTATTTGCATTCTTATTTTTATCTTATCTTATCTTATTTTTATTCTTATCTTATCTTATTCTTATTTTTATTCTTATCTTATCTTATCCTATTCTTATTTTTATTTGCATTCTTATTCTCATCTTATCTTATTCTTATTTTTATTCTTATCTTATCTTATCCTATTCTTATTCTTATTTTCATTCTTATTCTTCTCTTATTTTTATTCTTATTCTCATCTTATCTTATTCTTAGTCTGTTTTTTTATTTTCATTCTTATTCACATATTATCTTATTCTTATTCTTATTCTTATTCTTGTTCTGATCTCCCCTTTTCTTCTTTTTTCCCCTTGAGGAAGGGGGAGAGGCTCGGCCTGGATCGCATAACGATCATTACATTCAAAGTACTTTGCAGCTTTTAAAGAATTGACCACCATTCTTCGGTTCGTAATATTAGACACGTCCAGTACATTCTCCGATATCACTAGATCGTTCCATACAGAACCCCTACTTTTCTGATCTGCACCTTGACTGTCCCTGTACCACTTTCAAATCCGCACTGGTTTTACGTATTGTAGAACATGAACTGCGAATATGTGTCGGGTCCTTAAAACGTGCAAGCTGTCTCGTCACATACTCAGTGTTGTGATTGTACAATTAGTTATATAAAGTTAACATCCGAATAAACATCGGTTCGTTAAAGCACATCCGCTTGGCTGTCGGTACTGCGGTTTGAAGAGTTTTTGTTCCGAAGCACACAAGTTGTCAAACACTTATTTCAAGATTTCGACCTAATTAATTCACAACGTTGTCATTTTATTAAGTTTGATTGATCGTATTCGTCTGATCTGATCGAGATCGATCTCGGACCAGAAGTGGCTTTCCCAGATCCTGGCACTTTTACCTATCGAGCTTTTCTTCTCCTCGCGGAGTTTGCCGCTGGTCTGTGCCGCGATTATGAGGTCACTCTTGTATAATTGAGATCATATCTTCTGTTTATGATGTAAACGCTTTGAAGATCGCTGCGAGAGTCTTTCAAATCTTGGGAAACAGAGGCGGCAGCTTGAAGCTGCCCATAGGGCGGCTCTAAAGCTCGCCCATCCACGGTCAGTCATTGGCTCTCGTGTGGAATATGGCTTCCGCCCTGCGGAACCCGCTTTGAAAGCGAAGGACGCGGTAACTCGTTCGTTACGCGTCCATATCATCGGGCCCCCGGCCCGGCACGGCTTGAGCAAGCCCACGTAAGACACCGGGTGGGTGCGCATCCGTTTCAGAAGGTTCAGCGTTTACGCCAGGACCCGTTTGGCCACAACCTTAAACGGTCCGAAAGATCGTGGGCGAAGCCTCGTCCGGAAGATAGCAGAGGATGCATGTGTAGGCAGGTTTTTTGAATTCAATAAAACCGGGTTCTCCGACCTTGAAGCTTTCCACTTTGCCTCTTCCTTGTTCATCGGCATATTCTTTCTGCAGGTATTGGCTTTCAGCCATCGCAGCGCGAACGTGTCGTAGGACACTCAGTCTGGCAGACTGGAAGTCATCGACTTCTTTACGGATGGTGAGCGGGCTGACATCAGCTAGCCGTTCGGCTATTCCTCCCCCACCAAGCCCTGAGCCATTTGATGGCGGCGTCAGCGGAACGCTAGGATGAATCAGCCAGTTCACGTAGAACGGCGTGTAGCCGGTAGACGCATGCACTGCATTGTTCACTGCAAACTCTACGAGTGGCAACATGGCGCTCCAGCACCTCGGCGACTTAGCGCAGACGCTGCGAAGAACGTCTTCGATGATGTGATTCACCCGTTCGGTTTGACCATCGGTCTGCGGATGATCCGCTGTCGACATATCTAACTTGGTGCCAAGCACCTTAAAGATAGTCGACCAAAATTTTTACTTGAAACGGGGGTCTCTATCAGAGACAATCGACTCTGGGAATTCGTGCTGTCGTAAAACACGATCTACAT